GTGTGTGTGTGTGTGTGTGTGTGTGTGTGTGTGTGTGTGTGTGTGTGTGTGTGTGTGTGTGTACGTGTGTAGCACCAGATTTAAGCACCTTAAGGTCTTTAACCTGAAACAACCTCTCTCTGTCTCAGATAGCATCAACATTTTGCTCTGTGACCGTCTAAAAGTCATCCATGGAAATAATTCCAAACATTCAAACCATGCTTGTCACATGTCACAGAAAGGAACAAGGAAATGACAAAGACATGTTTGAAGTCACTAAGATAACTATGACAGAGAGACCCACAGAGAGGGTGCATTCCCACAGTACGTCGACCTCTGACCAGCGCCCCTGTACAGGAAGTCTGCACTGGATCTCTGTTCCCAGAGTCCTAATGCCTGATCCTACGAGTATTACCCAGCAGCCAGTGCAGAGTTCAGATGGAGCAGATGTGGGTGAGGGGACTCGCTCGGCTCTCAATGCCCCACTGTCCGAGTGCTTTTGTCTGATAAAAGAAAGCCGAGCCTCCGTCAGCCACATTCATTATGGCAGCTTTGTAATTGTAATTAACCGGGTTCATTTTTGGGTTCTGGACAGTAGGTCACATGGGCCTGTAACCAGTAAGAGCTATTCACACTAAAACTGGTTAATGCTCAAATTCTTACCTTCACAAAGGGTTAAAAAGGGAATGTCCACAATTTAGTCTTTTAGTTGCTGGAGTTTTTTAAAAGTATTTTAAAGAAGAAAAGCAAAAGCAGAATCAAATTATATTCATAATCACATAATAATGATCAAATCACATCAATTATACTTATTTAATTAATCTAAGAATTTATAAAGACAAAATAATAATCACAAACAGTGACAGAGGTGGCATCAGTGCTGCCGTGCTCCGAATCACATATGTGTAAAACCCTCATTCAAAAACTCCACTGATTCTACTTCCAGATGATTCATCAGTAGAACACAGAATAGGACATTAACACAGAGAACATACTGTCACGCCCCGCTCTGGGGGTACAGGAGCGCAACAAGGGTTAAAAAAAGGTGCCTTGGTCCCCAAAGTCAGAAACAGCCAAGTCACAGATGAAGGTGAGGTTTATTGCTACATCAGTCATACCAAAACTGAAACCAGAAACTCCAGGGTGAACCAAACTCAGCCAAAGGAAACAAGCTTTTCCAAAGAAGTGCTACCTTAACTAGACGAGGACAAGCGCTACCCCAAACTCCCAAACTTAATAAACAAGAGAAAACGTACAAGAGGAAGTGGGCTTCAGTGCTGTTTACAAGTGGACAAAGCTATTTACAGTACTATACACTGTCCTAGCTGTTGTCAGGACACACAGAGGGATTAAATACTAGGGTTGTATCCCAATTCAGGGTCTGCAGCCTTAAAGGCCGCATTTTAAGGCCGATTACGTCACAGCGACGCAACGGCTGTTCCAATTCAAAGGCTGCTCGAAATGCGGCCCTCAAATGCGTCCTTCATGTCCCTGAATTTTAAGGCTGTGGCAGTGTAGACTTCGGGGCCCAACATATCCCAGAATGCATAGCGCGGCGGTGGGTGTGGATAAATTTGCAGAAAAAAAACGCGAGATGAGGGGCGCCCGAAGAGTAAACTTAAGTAAGTACTGAATATTATGTCACTTATTTATGTGCAAATGTTAATAACGAAGAACATTAAACATTCCTGTTGGCCACATGTCGGGCAAAGTCATGTGACATTAGTGACGTTTGTACTAACTTGGTTTTAAAGCCTTTACTTTAAAAATACGCCGTTGTTACATTATAATATTATTTTATGCCATGTTATACCCCTAATTAAAGATTGTGAATTATTATGTAGTTTTAGTTTGCATTATTCTCCTGAATTAGAAGAAGCTGATAACTATTGCATTAGTTAAACTGATTTGCATTAAAGTAGACTGCTGATTTATTGTAGTTGAATGATATTGTTTTATGATGTTATAAGAAATACTGTTTGCAGTATTAGAAGAGAATAGAACATGCTGGAGTTTTCTGCCCCATCTCAGCAGGAGCAGATAAACAGGGAGCCAAGGTCGTAGCTTAGGCGCCGTGTGAGAGAAAAGCATGTGAATGTTTAGGCTTTTATGATAAGGTGGGAGAACCAGAGGCTATAAGAGTTTGAGCAATGCTCCACCATTTTGAGATCTGAGGCTGTCTGCATACAGTGTCCATCTCCCACGTGTGTGATCATTAAAATCATCGTTTGACTTGACCCGGCCGGACCAGTGTTGTTATTGTGGTTTTCCTCTTGTCTCCATCCCCAATATTTTGAACCATAACACCGTTCAATAGCTGAGCTTAATCTTACAGAGAATTATCAAAGCTCATGTAGAAACAAACAAACAAATGAACAAAAGATGTTCTCCTTCATTTCTGTCAAACAAAGCTGTATGACACGTTTCCAGCTGTTAGTATCATGGTTGCTAGGCAACCTGGGCAGCGCCACGGAGGCTAGACTGTCCGATTTCACAAGCCTCGCACTTCCGGCCTTAGCGGTCTTTGAGTACGCGGCCCTTGTGGATCGTTAAGGCTGCGTACTTTAAGGCTGCAGACTCTGAATTGGGATACAGCCTATGACTTGGGCAGCTGAGGACAGGTCTGCCGGAGACAGCGGCAGCCAATCAGAAAAAGGAGAGACTGCAGAGACTCTTAAAGGCACAGAGCACACATAAAAAATGTAGTCCAGACATACCAACACACACTGATTCATGATCAAAATATGGCCACTGTAAATGTTTTAAGGAAAATATTTTCTGATTTTTAATGTGATGACAGCAACACAATGAAGTGTTTCTTTTTGAGGACGCAGCTTTCAGGATTCTGTGCAGCAGTCTCAAACGTCTGACGGCCGAGGACAGCACTTTCTGATATAACAGTCCTGGCTCTTCTTTGGTGTCATTTTTGTTTCATGATGTAGTAAGTGTGCCTTTCCAGAAGTGTAAACTGCCAAATCCACATGCGACTCCATGCCATCGGTAATGCAGGCCGTTGAGCTGAGGCTCATCGCTCATCTTTAGTTTGACGGATGCAGAGTCCGTATTTTCCTGAAAGAATTTCACATTTTCTGCCAATATTAATCACAATGGCAGCTTTAGCATATGCTAACCAAAGGCCATATTCTTCTTTATTGTGCTGCAAAGAATAAAATGATCAGTTATTAGTTGCAGATGTTTCTGTATCCAAGTCTTGAAGCAGTACTTTAAAGCACTTGTTATAGTTGATCATTCTGTCATTGCAACAGGACAGATGATTAGTGGAGCCTCATTCCGTCCTGATTTATTTGTACAGGGGCTGAAGAATGGATGGATGGTGTCAGAAAAACTATCGGTGAATGTAAACATTAGCACTTTGGCATCTACGTTGTAGAAGGACAACAGTCCCTTGTCATAGTCAACATAGATTCCCACCCGAGATGGTCTGATGTGAACCGTCAAGTTGGTCGATGGTTCTGTTCTGAAGGCGAACTCGGACTGATCCCGAAGGCTGAGAAACCAGTATCCATGGGCGGGGCTCACGGTGATTTTACCCTTACGGTTGATGGACCGACTGGCCACGCCGAGGTCCCAATCAGTCTTCCCCCCTACCTCCACCTGTAAGAGGACATTATGGTAATGATTAATTTAGACATTCGACACCGAATTTGCAGTGCGCTTTGATCTTTAATGTGGATGCCATAGTTTTTCCAGTTATGATGGGAGAGCCCCCATATGTTAAAAAAAGAAATAAAAAACACTAATTAATCAGTAATTTAGCAAAAAGAAACACATAAAATCTTCTCACTAAACTCAAGATGTCATAAAGCTCCCCTCGCTCATGTCTCCACGTACCCATCAGATGGACTGCTTTGTTTGTACACAGAGACTGAGAGTTTAAACTAAAAGAGCTTGTTTCCATATTGCTTACCTCCCAGTAATGGCGCCCTGAGTTGAAGCCCTGGTTGGCCAGCAGACACACTACCCGGTCAAAGCGTTTCGGGTTGTCTGGTACCACCTGATGGCGATCTCCGCAGTAAACCCTCTTCCCATCTGCTGAGACGGTGAGACGTGGGTGGGCTGTGGTGGGATCCAAAGTGATGTCAACTGACAGATACAGTGATAGAGCAATGGTTAGTTCCTCCATCCTGTAACACTGCTGACTTGAGTTCGGGTTAAAGATGAATGATGTCCGGTACACAAGTTGGACAGAAAACTGTAAATGCCAAAACGTCTTTGAAATGGAGTTTCTAAAAACCCGCCAGTTTAGCTCGGGGCTCAAACAAAAGTAAACGCTAAAAGGATTTAAGTCCATACCTGCATATTCTTGAACCCTCCTAACCTCTGCAAAGAAAATGTGATAAATTGACTTCTCGACATTTTCTTCAAGTCATTTATTTGAAGAAGAATATTAACATGTAAAGAATTGTGTGCTGTCATTAAAACACTTACTCGGGTTGGGTCTAGATAAAGACTGGTTTGATGACGATTGCTGACCTACCAGTATGGAGAGACACATTTTTGCAATGTTCAGTTAATATTTGATGTTTGTTAATGAAAACATGATCATGCAGAGTTTGAACTTAGAATTACATAATGCTAGGATGGTCTTTTTTTGGCTACGTTGCTATTGTACAGACGTTCCATTGAGTTGCAAAGGTTTAGAGACACTATTTGCTCTTTTGAATTTTCAACGTGACTTTACTGCCCAGTTTAACTTGAGGTGGGAATGAAGACTTACAGATTTCTGGCAGTATTCGCAGCTCTTTGTGAAACTGCTCCATCATCTGATTGACAGACCTGAGAATCACACCTGACGTCAGCTGAGATGACACAGAGACTCCGGACCAGTTCTTAGCCTGCCAAGGTGCAGACAGGGAAGGGAACGTCTGCAGGGGGATAGGAATGTCATAAAGACATACAGTCTATGTTACATATCATGTTAATCATGCTATATGCTCAAAGTAGCCAAATTCCAGTTACTTAGGGCCAAATAACAAATTCCAATAATCACCGATTTCATTTTCATTGGCGGTTTAGGAAAAGGTCCGCCCTGGCTGCACTCTCTTCTGCACCTCTCTCATGCACAGTCCTTCAAACTCATCCATGTACTCCTTACATGTTCACCTGTCTCCCTCTCATTGAACTCTGTCCAGGTTCTACTAACCTTCATTCTCTCTTCTCTCCAGAACATATCTGCTTGTTTTCAGACTCTGGTCCATGCACTCCCTCCCCTCACTGCAGATTACATCTGGAAACATCAGTAGTTTCTGCTGGAAAGGTAGTTGGCAGTGGTTCCTGGAGTTTGCACCAAAAACCTCCCAGTAAATGCTTTGGTTGCTAGCAGATTGCTACTGACTACCTACTGGCTGAGCAGGAGTATAAGGTGTGGCACAAACCAGAAATGCCTACAAAGTAGAAGTCGTGCCTCAGCCACAGCCGATGTGTTTCAAAAGACACAACATTTCGTTTAAGCCTAATCTTCTCTTTTTCTTGTTTCGCTTCAGCTCAGAGAATCTGTCGATTCCAGTAAACCACAGTGCTACAATATGCTGCTGACCAAATGAATCACAAACCTTTTGCCAGCTGGTTGGGGAAGGCTTCTTTTCTAATGACTGGTCGACTGGTCCAAGGCTTGAGGAAGAAATTTCCCACTGACTAACAGCAACCTCTAGCAACTGAATGGGCGACGCTCATCAGCTTCATTCACTCGTTCCTGTTGCCACCACGAGCACCTCTACAACCCTCTCCTCCCTGGTCACGTGTCTGCACCCTAACAAACGCTGCTTATACCGAACTGTTCTGTGAGCGTGACTGGGGCGCCCCAGCTTTTAGTACTATAACCGTGGCTCTCACAATTCTCTGACAATCATTTGGTAGTTTTATGCAAACAATAACATAAAAGCATCAGGAGTAAAAAAAAGTGAGTGGAGAAGACATTTTCATGTCTCCCAGCAGCTAGTGCCTCTAGCAAGATGAGTAATCCTGATCCAGGGTTTCACATCTCTGCATCTCAATTCTCAGTATATTCCTTAACTGAACTTATAGCTACTTTCTGGATCTGTTACTGGGAGTAACTAGTGGAGCACTGCAAATGTATTACGTCTGTATTATTTTATCTGGTGCCTCATTTCATTATTTATTCATACCTTGAGAAAGAATATGTAGTCCTCAGACAGAGCCAGCTGACTCAGTGCTGAGCTCCTCCGTTTAAGCTCAGCTATTTCTTCTTCCAGCTCTCTCAGCACGCTCTGAGCTCTGCGCTCTGCCGCTCGAAGAGTCACCTCTATCACCTGGGTGCCACAGAAAGGGTGTGTTCATGAATATGCCGACAAATGTGTCGTCTACTTTGAGACAAAAATAGTGTGTGCAGTATGATTGTCTCTGTAGTTGGTCACCTCCAAGACTTCAGCTTGGCAGTGCTCCACGCTGGAGATCAGCTTGGAAAAAGCACAGACGGCTTCATCCGTCTCTCTCTCTGCAGTATCCTGATTAAAGCACGAACAGCAACCAGCGGAAAAGTAGAAAAGAAGAATTCAGAGACAACCATAAATGTAAAATGTGACAAACTAAAGTGTGCTCACTTTTGGTATCTATTCTGTCATTTTCTTTTCTGAGATATTTCATTAAACATGAACAGCTCGGCCACATGAACAGTTTTTAAGGACAAGTGTCAGCTAAAGATCTCTGCTCTCTGATTGGCTCCTGGAACAATGTAGCATGCTATCTTAACAAAACAAACAAACAAACAAAGTGCACGTGTGAGAGAATAAATACATACGATCCATAAGCGAAGCTTCTTCCTGCAGTCGTGTTGACACCACATCACTCACCTTTATCTCTCGCAGGGAGCTGTGTACCTCCTCCACTTTTCTCTCTCTCTCACTGATGAGCTCCTTTAGCTCCGCCTCAGTAATACCTAACTGAGCCTGAATGAGACAGAAAACACACAGTGTGTCTAACAACCAACGCATTAAACATGCTCTGCTGCAGTTGCATGTTTATATACAATTAGATGCACAGTTTGTTTGTCAATGACAGTTGACTTTGATTTAAAATCAACTGTGTCAACTGACAAACACTGAAAATATGATTGAAGTGCAGATCTTCAGCTTTAATTCAGGTGTTTCACAAAAGCGGTGGAGCCAGGTGTTACTGCTGATAGAAGTAGTATGAATTTACAACCTGAAGAGGTGATAAAGCGATAGATCTTTCAGCCCAATTCTACTTTTTCTGCATAATCCATCATACAAAATGTAATCAGATGGAAAAGTCTCTTTTTAAAACTTGTTTTATTAGTTTTAACCTTTTAACTTTATGCATCAAGCAAAGATTTAATTATCTGCAACATTCTCTGACTGGAAGAAATTAGTTTAACATTTAAACCTGTTTTCTGCACATTCCAGCTCATAAAATAAAATATTTTTTGTGTTTACACTCAGTCTTTCAAATAGATGCAAGTAAAACACAGCAGAAAATAAATAAAGTCAAAGACTCAGCGGTCCTGTTGCTCTATTTTCACCTGTAAAGCAGGAGTGGGGCAGGCGGAGGGTTACCCTGGTGCAGGTGTGCCGCGGTCAGTGGAAGAATCCGCGAGTTTCTCTGTGAGTTTCCCATTACGTCGTAGCTACTCGGTGCTTGTTGGAAGTTTAGGGGTTTTTTCGCTGTAAAAAGAAGTTTTCTTCCCACGCACAACGGACACTAATGTTTTTGTCACTTTTTATGGAATCAAACTCAAAGTAAGGTCAGTACTTCCACGCTTTAAACGCTGCACGCTCATACTCCGCACTCGATATATGATCCATTGTTGATCTGCACACAGCTGTTGTCACGAACGTCGCACTCGCTTACGTCACTGTCATGAGACATTCTCGCAAAAAATCACGGTTTTAGTAACGCAGCGTTCCTACGGGAAAGTAACGGTAATCTAATTACCGTTTTGGCAATAGTAATCCCTTACTTTACTTGTTACTTGAAAAAAGTAATCAGATTACAGTAATGCGTTACTTGTAACGCGTTACTGCCCATCTCTGCCGAAGAGTTTATCAAGATAAAGAAATGGGATATTATAACAAAGTCAGTCACCCTAACTCAACTCTATAGAGCAGCTTATTGAATACAAAACTGAAGGCACAGAGACGCACGAACAAGCAGCAGCTGGAGATGGTTACAGTTTAGGGTTCGAAACATCAGGGAGCCGTTTTTCATTAAAATATTAAATACAAGTGTTATATTTAAATGTGTGTGTATTAATACATAATTCAACTTTTAAAAATTAAAATGTTGAAAATACTCTCGTTCACCTTGAGCCTCTGAAAAAGTGAGACTGTGTAGAAAAGCTTCTAATTCCTGAACAGTGAGTGCAGGAGTTTTGCTAAAGCTGCTGAATCAAAGCTGAAAGCCTGCCGTCACATCTGGATTCATCTCAATCCACTGTGGTTCTGCACAGACACAAACCTAGAGACATAGTTCTAACAGACTGTGCATGATAGCACAGCTGTGTGGTCCAGCCCAGAGTTTAGCAGTGAGGATGTTCACAGCTCCACCTGATACTCTGACCTTTGGACATGCCAGCCCAAACTGGAATCCATCGTTCCAGTTATTCTGTTGTGAAAATTAGAATCATGCCATGACAGCATATCAGGAGCCTGTGAGGAAAAAAACCTTCAACATTCTGAAAATTAAAGAAATACATATCAACATCACAATAACTGTAAGAATTCCCAAACCTGCAACAAAGTTGCAACAAATCCCCGCAGCATGATGGTTTATTCTCAAAGAGAACTTTTACTAAACCAGTCAGTGAGGCCCAGTTAGCTGTGAGCCAACCACCACATGCACAAACCTTCTTCAAGTGCCACTCTCGTTTGGCGGGGGTGATGTTGTGTCCTAGGTGATCTGACGTCCCCACACACGTGCTGCACACGCACAAGTTATCAGTGCGACAGAAGAATTCCAGACCTCTCAGGTGGATGGGGCACGGCGGCAGATCCGAGTCACTGGACATGTCAACATTTGAATAAATGAATGTAAGTGACTGATTAACCTGTCGTCTGGTTTCCAGGACATATTATTCAGTTGTTTACAGTTTGACACGTGTATGGTTACATTTAGCTGTTAACACAAAAGGTTTCCTTACTCTGCTTTTCTTATTTCCTGTCATATGTACACTGATACTACATGCAAACACTCCTCTAAACAATCTGTTTCACACAGTTTTTTTCCCATCCTACACGTTCATGATGTCATACTGACGAGATATCTTTGTGAACACAGCACAACCACTCACCTCCTGTTCAAACCTCCTGTTTGCAATGGGCAACCAGTCAAGAGACACTTGTTTTAGGCAGTGGGTGACCTGAGCAACACCCAGTATAAAACAAAAGATGCTTTTGAGCTGTGAGTAATGCAAAAATACTCCAGTGGTCTAAAAATGAGAATAGGAGGCCAGAAATGTGCACCATACAAATGTTTCTGTTGTAAACATCAGTGCTAAAACCTTGTCTCACTTGAGGACTAATACCATTAGTAATGGTTAAGAAGTCTTAGTACTCCTTCCAAGAGGACAACCATTACTAGAGTCTGCGTCTGTTGTTTTAAAAGTGAAGAAGCCTCGTGGAGGCCAGGCCGGATGTCTTCACAAACCTAAAGAAGCCCACTCGCCTTCTCTTCAATCGTTTGAAACTGCTGAGTTGGTTTAATAACAGGTATATTTCAATAAGTGATGAAACATTTGAACCTTTTTCTTTTTTTCCAAAGGAGAAGAGGGGAGGGGCTCAGGCCGTTCTAACGCAAATGACGACTCGTGCTGTTCATCGTAACAAAGGGAATCTCTGTGGCTTTGGACTGTTTATCAAACAGGCATAAACATAAAATGTGCTTAATACTGGAAAGTAGTTTTGTTGTAAAGTTCAACAGTCGGCGTGGTAAGGACTCCCTGAGAGCAGGGGTCGGAGACTATCTGAAGCATTTTAAACTACCAAACAGCCACGAGGTGCTGATCTCTCCATACAGCAGAGCACAGAGCAGCCAAACGTCATATAACACTGTTATTAGTTTACAAACCCACGAGGAATGAAAAGTATTAGCAGGTTGTCTAAGCCTGTATGTTTTTAAGACGTGTCTGTAGTTTAACTAATTGATGTGTGTGAGATGGATGTTTCTTCACGTAAAATCTATGAGCATGTATTTGATTGTTTTTTTCATTTTCTGATTTCTCGCTCCCTCATCGGGTCTGCTTGTCCACTGCTGCTGCTGAATCCTCCCATCAAAGCGTTTCTGCTGTTGTGGCATCAAGCTAATGTGTCCACTTAGTAAATCTGGTCCTCTCTGTGGGAGCCTTGTAGCATTTACAGTGGTATGCAAAAGTTTGGGCACCCTTGATCATTTTCATGATTTTCCTTCATAAATCACTGGTTGTTTGGATCAGCAGTTTCATTTCCCAGTACCTGCACTGGCCACACAGCCCCACAGCATGACGGAAGCGCTACCACATTTTACTGTGGGCAGCAAGTGTTCCTCTTGGAGTGCTGTGTTCTGTTTCCATACCACCTCTTGTTATGTCTAAATAACTCAGTTTTAGCTTCATCAGTCCACAGCACCTTATTCCAGAATGAAGTCGGCTTGTCCAAATGTGCTTTAGCAAACCTCAAGCGACTCTGTTTGTGGCATGTGCACAGAAAGGCTTCCTCTGCATCACTCTCTCATACAGCATCTCTTTGTGTAAAGTGTGCAGAATAGTTGAACAATGGTAAATGGCCTGTATTTGTGTAGCGCTTTACTAGTCCCTAAGGACCCCAAAGCGCTTTACACATCCAGTCATCCACACATTCACACACTGGTGACGGTAAGCTACTGTGTAGCCACAGCCACCCTGGGGCGCACTGACAGAGGCGAGGACACTGGCGCCACCGGGCCCTCTGACCACCACCAGTAGGCAACAGGTGAAGTGTCTTGCCCAAAGACACAACGACCGGGACTGTCCAAGCCCGGGCTCGAACCAGCAACCTTCCGATTACAAGGCGAACTCCCAACTCTTGAGCCACAATCGCCCCCACGAACGATGCACAGTGACTCCATCTGCTGCAAGATGATGTTGCAGGTCTTTGGAGCTGGTGTGCAGGTCAACTCTAACTGTTCTCATCATCCTTTGTCTCTGCTTATCTAAGATTTTCCTCGACCTGTCACTTCCGGCCTTAACCAGGACTGTGTCTGTGGTTTTCCATTTCCTCACTATTTTCCTCACAGTGGAAACTGACAGCTGAAATCTCTGCGACAGCTTTTTGTATCCTTCCCTTAAACCATGATGTGAACAATCTTTGTTTTCAGGTCATTTGAGAGCTGTTTTGAGGCTGCCTTGTAGCCACTCTCGAGAGAAGATGCAAAGAGGAGAAAAACTTGCAATTGGCCACCTTAAATACCTGTTCTCATGATTGGATTCACCTGTGTATGTAGGTCAAGGGTCAATGAGCTTACCAAACAAATTTTATGTTTCAATAATTAGTGCTAAAGGTATTCAAGTCAATAAAACAACAAGGGTGCCCGAATTTATGCACCTGCCTAATTTAGTTGAAGTAACTATTGCACACTTTCTGTAAATCCTATAAACTCCATTTCACTTCTCAAATATCATTGCGTGTGTCTCCTATATGACATATTGAAATGAAATTGCTGATCCAAACAAATAATGATTTATGAAGGAAAAATATGAGAATTATCAGGGGTGCCCAAACATTCACATGACTCTGTGTAGAGGATATGAAAATGTCCCCCCACATACCTCACCACTACAGGCATAGACCTGAAAAGTTATAAAGTCACATTTGGAACAAATTTAAAAAAAATTAAATAATTTATGCTTTGTTGTGGCACTACTCTCACAAACATCCCGCTAATGACAAACAATCATCCAGAGAAATCTGGATGATTGTTTGGTACTATTTGGTAACTTCGTGAACGTGAAGTCATTTACTGAGTCCAACTTTACAGACTTTTTGTGGCCCTCAGGTGACTGCCGCTGTGATTTGGAGATATATGAATAAAACTGAACTGTAGAGCAGGTCATCTACTAGCTACAGTGTTAGTGGTTTAATCCCTGGCTGCACCAGTCGGCGTGCCAAATGTCCTCAGTGAAGACAGTAACTCCAAGCGGCAGACGCATCCATCAGAGTGTGAATGTGTGACTGCTACATGGGAAGCACTGAAGTGTAGAAAAAGGTGGCTGCATGAACGGGTGAATGAGGCATGTATAAAGCACTTGGAAAACATAAGATCCAGTCCATTTACTATTAATGTGGTTCAGTCAAATATATTGTAATGCAATATTTCAGTATATTTCGGTACCTGGGGTAAGGTGGTGGGGGGTCGTGATGCTCCGTCCTGACAAAGGGAGCACCATCTCGACTCTGGCTTTGGGGGAGTGCAGCGTGAGGCAGCCCGGGGTCTGGCAGGCGCTGAAAACGTGACATCATTTCTGCAAGGATGTTCTCGGGCATCTCCCCCTGCCTCTGGAATCTGGGTGGCAGTGGTTGATTATGATGGGAAGGGGACCTGGAAGGCTCCGTTCCTCCAAGTCTGTCAGCCACAGGAGAGCCGGCCATCTGCTTGAATTGTTCAGTTATTTCCTTCAGGGTCAGGTTGATATGGAGAGCTGGTCTCTTGAGGAAGGACTCTTTGCAGAGAGGGCACTGGTACATTTTTGTACTGTTTCCGTCCCAGTAGGAGGAAATGCAGGTTTGGCAGAAACTGTGTCCACATGGTGTTGTGACCGGTTTGGTAAATACTTCCAGACATATAGGGCAGGTGAACTGTTCTTCAGACAGGAAGGCAGCAGGTAGTGACATAGCCATTTAGTTTTGAGCTGCATATAGAGACAGACAGAAGATTAGAAAAATATTAAACTGTGTGCATCAGCAAACTATTGAATAAATGTCCCAGACATGAATTTCAAAAGCTTTACTGTTCAGATCTCATCTAATTCTCGTTGCCACAGGAAAAGACTGAGTTTATACAGAACTGGTCTGGAGCTTGTTCATGGGAACTCCAAACTACACTGAATCAGAACCAGAACTCTTTGATTATCCCTGAAAATATGTGTTCCCAGTTACTCGAGGCAGTGAGAACAGTAACCGACTAAATAATACAACATGTTACAAAGTTACAAAATAGAAACAAAATAGCTCTAAGAGATACTAATAGCAAAGAATATTAAATATATATACATGGATATGTATGGTTGTTATTTTCTCTGTAGAGGATGCAGTAGTAATGCTGGAACTACTGCACTGTGTGCTGTGAATGAAATGGAGGAGTTGTACAGAGATATCCAGAGACAGGAATGATATCCTGTCATTTAGTGGTGCATTATGGGTAATCTCATTCTGCTCCTGTGATTGGCCAGTGAGGGATGGAGTGGATGGAGGTATTATCTTGGGCAACATCCACCTCTCCAATACAAGCTGAAGTGATAAACTTTGAATTATTAGATGTTTTTATCTATCCATCCACCTGTTCTTCAAGTGTCTGACACACCCAAGCCACGCCCTCTGACCAGCTTCCTTCATTTCCTGTCATTCACCTGTTGGTCACTGCTATGAAAGATGGGAGCCATATTCCATTCAGCAAGTCCTGGCCCAGCTAACGTACTCAAAATTCATGACCGCAGACGAGGAACAGTCACTGTTACACAATAATATACAGAACAGTGACAGTAGTGCTGCAAACACTCGCTTCATCCTGAAACCTGGATGAGCTGGACTGATAGGCTGGTTTCACTCGTCCAGCCTGGATATCTGCACTCTGATACAGCCTAACAGCCCCAGTCTTAGCTGATATATTACTATCATTAAAATGATCTCATTATCACCGGTCTAAAGCTCGACTTCAGCAATATCCATCAAGAACCAAAAGTGAAGGACAAACAGGTGCCGAGAGGATTCATGCCCCTTTTTGCTGGGTAACATATAACCCAAGTGTACTCTAAAACATTCATTGTTCGCCTAATCCATCAACTGATTCAGAAGCTCTTTGGAGCTGCTGGCAGCATGAGACTCTCAGTGTGAGTGTGCACTTCCTTAACTTAAACACACTAAAGCTAAAACACACAGTGAAAATATACAAAGGAGTAGTTGCGCAAGATCAAGAAATTCAGGCTCGGCTGGAATATTCTCGGCCAGGACGTCATCATTACCGAGTTAAACGAGGCAATGGGGAAAAAATCCTGCAAGTCATTCGTGTTTCTTTAGTGTGTGCTGTACTGAGATCAGCTGACTCTGACTGGATAATATGTATTTATGTCGTATAAGCACCATGCTCCAGCATTCAACAATAAACTGTTATTTCATGAATAAGAGAAATGAAAGGAAGCCTGCTTCTGTCACAGTGACCTCATGAGAGCGATCTTTCTGTTAGTTTCTTCATACCAGGCAGAAATGTGCTGTCGTGTTAAATTAGCAGAGTGGAAGCTTCACTAATCCAAACATCAGCTGCTTTTTGTACAGCACTGGAAAAAATGATGGAACACAATATATGAGTGCTTTAGGAAAGTAAAGAAGCAAAATAAAATAAATAACAGACAGATTTACTGGCTCATGAAAACGTGTGAGCAGCCGCCGTACAGGAAGCACCACCAGCATTGTTGAGCCATTGCTCAGTCATGTGGTAACCAATCTGAAGACAGTGGTCATTACTGAAATATGCAAGACATCACAGAGCTGTCGTGTATCCGAAAGCTTCCTCAGAGAGAAGATGATAACATTTATGAAAAGTAATGTGTAAAATCTGTGTGTAACACTATACCAGTGCTTTATATTAACACTGGTGAACCTATGATGGAGGTGAAGTTTTGTGTTGTTCTCACAACCTCAGTGCTAAGAAAAAGTATAGGTCACAATTAAACGTGTGAGATTAATGATCACTTTTTTTATCAGACAAAGATGAACTGAATACAAAACGTGGTTTTTAAATAGTGATTTGGCCACGCCTACCCAGTCCTATGTGAAAAAGTGCCATCATGACAGAGAATCAGTGTTGACCAATAAGAACACAAAGACCATGTGAAATTTGACCATTTTGACGAGACTTTGGGGGAAACGCTGGTATAAAACCAAAAGGCTGAATTTGAACCTGATCAACAGTCAGTGTGACCGACAATGACGCATCACTGTCGTTGTGATTCTGTTAATGTTTTTGGTTTATAAATCCAGCTTTGGTAAAAGTATCGTGACGGCGCACACATGTCAACAACAGACTGTATAACTGTTGAGCACACTGGTGTCAAAGGCTTATATAAAGTTTCATGTGGCGTAGCGACCCACACCCACGGCTGCCTTTCTCTGCTGATTTCTTTCACGTCGTCATGAAACAGATTTGGAGTATCAGAGCGTACAGGCACACAGCTCGATAACACCTGCCTGCACAACCATTTCCTGAAGTTACATAGTGAGATCATTTAGCTTTGATATTAAAGCTGTAAAGCTGCAGTATAAACAGGTAGCGTTGCATGTTTTTACACACTTTCACACACTGCATGATAACATTAAATATCAGTACTTGTGTTACATATAGGCATATACAGAGCTTCCTTTGACATAGTGCACAGACAAATGACGCTCTACAGGCTGCTGGGTGAACTGATCCTATTCAGACACCAACTAACAACAGGAACAGAGTCCACAGTTCACATGTTAGTGAACATGTCTTACCTGCAGTTTCAGCAGAGAGGTTGTATTTGAGTGTTTGTACGAGATGTTCCCTGTAGCTCGTTCCTCTCCTTCTCTTGCTCCTGTCAGTCTGGATTTCACTTTTCACATTCGTGTCATTTTTGCTTCATTGTTTTGTTGATCCCTCCTCTTAACCCCCCCCCCCCCCCCACCCACGACATTTATCCAAACAGACCTGCTCGACAGGTGCAGCTGCAGAGGTATGCTGTTTTAGATCAACTCTGTCTCACAGCTCTTTAGCAAACACAGCTCTAATTAGATAATGCACGTGCTTTTTATTTCAAGAAACTGTCGCAAAATCGATCAATGTGGAGCAGTGTCACAAACCACGGAGGCCCCAGAAAAGTGCAATCAAACGATGAGCTTATTAACAGCCCGGAGAAAACATCAACATACTGTATGTCTTCTGACCAAAATACATGTTGTGGATACTTATACAGCAGTGGGGTACACGCCCCCCTATGGCGTCAATGACAGATTAAAATAGGTTCCAGACATTAGTCACCGTTAATCGTACATCTTTAATGGCTATAAACAGACATAGAACTTCTCTTTTCTATAACACCTTCCATACAAGGTAATAAACTTCAAGCCCTCAGGGTCTCTGAGGCTAATTATTGACTCTGATCATCTGTTACCAAGTAGAATAAAATATAGTGAGACACCAAATGAGTTAAGGCCTCAGGCCTGACACATTCCTAGATCATATGTATTATATGTACTGTAAGCATGCATTGCAGTTATCCTTCTATGTTCTAGTTTCCCTCAGCATGTATCCCCTGGACAGTCACGCCAGTGAAGCTTAAGACCCTTAATGAACCGAACATCAACTCAAAATAAGCACAGATATGCAATGTGTATAAAATACTTCTGACCGTACCTGTAATAAAAGTTAACATAATGGAAGGATCCTCAAATGGACATCTTCAATAAACAACTGTAATGCAGTATCAATACTGTGAGAAATATTGGAATAATGCTGTAAAGAATGTTATTAATGCAGTTATAATGATGCAAGTTATATGGCAGCAATAAAAGAATTTCTGGATCTCCACATTGTCTGTTAAATCATACAGGACACTTGATGCCCACATCAGAGTTTTGTACACTGTAATGATGCGTGTTTGTTCTGGGAGTTGAAGCAATAAAGAGATAAAGTCTGTTTGAGATGCTTCATTACATGCACATGGGTGTAGCTAAGACTGATTTAGCTGAACTGTGTGATGAATTAGGATCTCTACTGTCGTTCCACAAGTCCTGGTATGATTTCTTTCTCCAAGCCACCTTTTTTTTTAGCTTGCAGAGAGTATAAGGAATGCCCATTTAGGCCTGCACGGTTCACTATGTTCTCCACCTCACACTGAAGTGCTTCAAGTTTTCTCCTTTCCATTTCTGATGCCTTCTTCCACTGTTTCTTAAACCTCCTAACTTTCACCAACCTGTCAATGTCTTGCTGCGCCCTGATGTAGCGCTTCCCATTTTTTAAAATGATTAGGGACGGACTTTGAGAGAGATGTAATATTATCTACAGCTACTCTTAGTACCATTGATGTTAAGTTAGACTCTTTTTCTC